AACTCTTCACAGATTTCTGCGTCTTCAATGATTTGGTAATCGGAGGCAACATGTACAAGCACAAGGATATACACAAGACCAGCGACACAGATTTCGCCTGACGGACACACTACACAACAGGTAGACTTCATCTCAATGCTGCTCCAATGCTCAAGGAAGTGGAGACTCAGCTAGTCTGCTGGACACGGAGTAGAGGAGGGGAGCAGATGTGGGCTTAGAACATCATCTAGTTAGCAGGACCTTGAAGGTGAAGCTGAAAGCCTTCAGAACAACTTGAAACAGACCACAAATCAAGTTCAACACTCAGAAACTGAAGGACAAGACTACAAGATATACCTTCACTACAGATCTGATCAGAACAAAGTTGGTGACACTACGTGGCATTACTGAGGGAACCTGTGTGTGTGTGTGTGGAAGAACACTGGAACTCTCTGAAAGCGAAATTTAAGGGAACGTGTACAACTGTTCTAGGAATAAGGAAGAGACAAGACAAGGGATGGCTGTCAACGGACACCTACTTGGAAGCTAATAGAAGAGGGGAAGGGAGGTTGGTGAAAGAGAAGATGACTCAATGCAAAGACGGATAACAGAAGGAGAAGCTGAGTTCAATGTACACAGCACAGAATAAAGAAGTGAAGAAGAGCACAGGGAAAGACAAAAGACAATTCTACGACACACTGGCTGGCAACTTGATCAGAACAGGCAGGTCACAGGTAAAAGAGACCTCAGGATATGATATGAGGTAACCAGGTGTCTATCAGGGAAGAGATCAACACAGATGATGGAACCAATACAAGATGCTCAAGGGAACCTGATTACTGAGGAGGAGAAACAAATCAAACAATGGACTGATCACTTTAAAGGACTCTTGAATCGACCACCATCTGTGATTGATTCACAAATACTACCAGCAGCACACACGGAAGTGCCAGTGGGCACCAATCTTCCAACGAAGCGAGGAATCTTGAATACGATCAAGCTGCTGAAGTTCGGATGGAATTCCCTCGAAACAGTTAAAACAGACACAGAGACTGTGGCAGAAACGCTGACACCATTATTGCAAAAGGTTTGTAAAGAAAGGTGCCTAGTGATTGGAAGAAAAGCTGGCCATCTTGTCAAACTACCAAAGAAGAGCAACTTACGCCTCACTCTTCAAGAACTGACGCGGATTAATGCTCTTTTCCACGCCAAGTGAAATACTAAGTCACATGATCCTGGAGGGAATAAAGAATGCACTGGATACAGAACTCCGCCCCTGACCGGTACAAGCTGGGTGGATTCAGGAAAGTCAAATCATGTGCTGATCAAACTGCAACCCTACGCATCTTCATCAAGGGACAAAGCATTGAACGGTAGCCAAACCTGTACCTTAACTTCATCGACTTCGTAAAGGCCTCGTACAGACAGCGTAGACCGAGAAGTGATTTGGAAACTACTTCCACACTATGGTATGGAGTGTCCAAATCTTCATCAACCTCATTCAATAGCTGGCTATATGACAGTGGCACGTGTCAGGTGATCCACAACGGAAGACTCAGTGAGCCGTTCGAAGTGCATACAGGAAGGAGTAAGACAAGGCTGCCTCTTATCACCCACGATGATATTCTTGGTGGTGATGGACTGGATTGTACGTTAGACTGTGTGTGGCGAGTGAGAAGACAGGAATACGCTGAACCGATGCGAGGACTCTAGAAGATCTCGATTTCTCAGATGAAATATGTCTAATTTCACAGAAACTCGAAGACTTGCAGGCGAAAATCAACAAACTGGCTAAGGAGGCTAGGAGTGAAGACAAGACTGTATGTGAACACAGAGAAGACGGAGATGATGAAGATAACCAAATGACAGCAACAACAACAACCGGCACGAATGACGATCAACGGGAGAGATTTGACAGAGATTACTTCCTTCGCTTTTCTAGGCAGCATCGTTTCAATTAAAGGCATGTCCCACAGATGAAAATGTCAAAGGCAGCCAGAATCGGGAAGGCAAGATACACCTTTATCAACCTGAAATCAGTTTGGAAATCCTTTGCACTGAGCATAAAGAACAAGATCCAGATTTTCAACAGAAATGAGAAGTCAGTTCTTTTATATTGGTTAGAAAATTGGGGCACCTGTCACGAAAAGCATATTGAACAGCCTGCTGTAGACTTCTATCAACGACTGCCTTCACTGGCCCCATACTGAAAATCAGATAGTCGGTCAGAAGGAATTAGCAGCAAGAAACTCCTAGAACTAACCAATCAAGAAACTGATGGTCAACGAATATCCTAAAGAAAATGTAGATGGATCGGACAAAGGTTGAGGAGGCCGTCGAAAGATATCGCGCACCAGGCCGTGAAGTGGAACCCTAAAGGGAAGCGAGGAGTTGGGTGTCCGAGGGTTTTGGGCAATCTTGGGGCCAATTAAAGAAGAGAGCAGAAAATAGAACAAAGTGGAGGTATGTTGTTGAAGCCCACTCAGAACCCAAGGGAATAATAATAATACTGTACATGGTCCTTATGGAGACTTTCGGTCACTTTACATCTAAGCAGCTTTCGCCCACTGTCATATTCCCAACCCATCGTAATCTGTTTATTTGCGTGCTATAACAACCCAGCGAGGGATTGAGTTCGAAATAGTTCAGCTTGAGTAAAGATTCTACTTCGCACAATATAGAGAAACGACTGTAAAGTGGATTTTGACTTTCAGTAACTCTCTAAGCGATTTCGGCTAGTTACTGAAAGGGTAGGTGGAATTACACTCAATAATAATAACACTGTAATCCTGCACTAGGCTACAAATCGCATTCAGTGATGGGAAACTTATGATATCACCTAGTTGCCCATGCTGAATTAGGCTAGGAAGAGTTCGAACACAAGAACCATAGAATTGAAGTTGGCCAAGCAATAATTAGGAGTTACTCAAAATGATAATTCTTATAAATTACCAATGCGCCTTCGCTTAAGTTAGAGATTCGCTGATGCATAAGAATGTTTTTCGGAGACTACTACGTGAAGCTTAACACAAGTAATTCTTCTGTTTTGTATGGCATTGGCATCCGATTAAACGACATTAAATTTTCCGTACCCATAACAATATATTTCTTTATTCTTTGACGCGTATTTTACTATCAGTCTAGAAATATGACTACACTGATTTACACGATGTGAAGTTAACCCTGAAGATGCTGTCCAGAAGGACAATAATAGCCTAAGAATAAAGCCATCCAGCTCAGATAATACAACTTGAAAGTCAAGTAGACTAATTCGAAATTCCATATGTAATTAGGGTCTCACTGAAAGTATTCTGTTTATTTGAACTCCAGGGATCGTGTTATGAATTATTTACTAAAATGAACAGTTTTAATTAAAAGTGACCCCACCAAAGTGAAAATACAGTTATACACAGGTGACTAGATCACGTTAGATGTAGGCAACAAAAGCATAGATTCCTAAACTGAAATCACGGAAAGTTTATCATAAGCTATGCTTCCATAAATCGAAAAAGTGTTTTAGAAGTGCTGTGTCTTGACGTGGATTAAGAAATACATGTACGAGGAGTGTTATTTTTTCATTATTACTAGAACATTTGTGTAAATGACGCTGACATGGGCGTGAGACATCTAATGGAATAAATAGATTACTAATTTGAAAAAGTAAGATGGTAAAAAGCAATACAAATTCATCTTGCAAATAGTATTTAATCAGCAAGCGTCACATCAACTGAGTAATCTAATACAGGGACTACAATCAGTCATATCAAACAACTCAGTCTAAAATAATAAAAAAAAGCAAATATGCCATGTTTTGGTTTGGCTAACTTTTGCAGGCATCCAGATATACGCAACCTGTCTCCAAAGTTGATATTTCAACCATAAAATTAGAAGGAAAGGACTGCTATGGAGTGTATTCAGTCTTTGATAAACTGATAAGCACTGTTAGGTAAATCTTATAGATCTGTTGTTGATGCTTATTCCCAATTACTTAGTAAGGACGATGAAGCATATGATCACTTCATTTTGTCCGCCGGACTGTCAGTGAGGTTTTACAGCAATGTAAAATGCATGCATACTAAATGTTCTTGCATGGGTTTCGAAGATCTTCAGAAGACTAGTCCTTTTCGACTTTTTAGTATAGCAAGACACTGTCCCCGAGCACTATGCTAATCATATTTGAGTTGGAAACCATTTAGTGGAAAAAATTCCCTTTAGAAGGAATTTACCTGAGATGCAAAAGTAGACGTAGCCTTTGATGAATAGTCTATACTACTTAAAGTCCAAGCGAATTATTCATACATTCAGTGGTATTCTATTAAGATAACTAATTGTGACACCAAAGAACAAGATTCATTGTGTAACAACTGCAGATAATATAGCTTAAAGAACACTTGTTAAGAAAAACTAATAAATTATTCAAGCTTTGTCCTGTTTTCTTCCAATATAAAAGGTTAATTTGCTGAGAAAGCGAATAGCAGTAATGGAAGAAGATCGAGAAACAAACTTTATCTATCCGCAAACAATACATTCAATGGATCAGAAAATATTACTACAAAATGACATCTTAGAAAAAGAATCTCCAGTAAAAGAGAAATCTGAAGTGAAACAAGTCAGCATAGAAAAATGCAAAGCAGAGGACAAATGTTCAGTCTATTTGGGTGATACAGGAGGGCAAAAGTCAAGTAGTGAATGTCTAGTTTCAAAAACGAACTTTAACCCGTATCCGTGTAAAACAGTTTCTTCAGGTGATTGGTTATACAGTATGTGATTTATACTAATATTCTATCAAGTTGTAGGGATAAATTTTATAAAGCAGCAGTTGTTGCACAGTATCGCTGTTAAAAAAAAATAATCTTAGGGTTTGTTTCCCAATGTATTCTATTATTCATTATATCCAATTAATGAATACAATGTAAGGTATACCTCTGTCTTCTCTAAACTTTATGTACAAAAGTAGCTCACATAACAACCATAAATATACTCAGGATAAATCAGCAACAAAACAATCATTGGATAATAAATCATTGAGATTCCATTTGTCTTTTACGTTTTCTTTGAAGTTTTTTAGATTTTAATACTTTGTTCACATTTGAAAGTGCTGGGGCAAGGCGAGGTGTTTGGTAGGGGAAATTTGAAAAATCTGTATTTTCTGCAGAATCGTTCACGGTAGGTTTCGGTTGAGATGTACCAGGTCCACGAAAAACATCACGTTTCTTCCGTATAGTACGAGACAGGCGACAGCGACTGGGTGGATTAGCTAAATTCACTTCAGACGTTCTTCCTTTGTCCACAAAGTTTGCAAAACTACTTCCACCGAAATCAACAGGTAGTTGAGTATCTTCACATGGGAGTAGATGTTTAGAAAACAAAATTGCAATAGCCGGTTCCTCCTAAAGAATTAAAGATAATCAAAATTAGTCAAGGATATCCATCCTCACCTCACACGAAAATAGCAATGGGAGTGAGTTCATTCTGAGACAAAAATAAAAATAAGTATAAAACAATACTGCTAACTACTCATGTGCGTCGGTGGCGCACAGGTAAAATGCTCGACAACCACTCATGTGGTCCAGGGTTCGATGCCCCCTAACCTCACTTAACTGGTAATGAGCCCAGCAAAGAGAGAAGATCGGGCGTGAGAATAGCAACCTCACCCCATACAAATAAAACCATTGCTACCGAAACTTCAAAACTGTAGCTTAAAGCCCTATGTTCCACTGCGAACGCAAAGGAATAAAATAAAAATTATAAATAAAATAGAGAACTACTGCGTTTCTGAATTCGAAATACTGTATACAGCGTGTTTTTATAAACCGCACTTACTAATCAATACGGAATATTTTATTTTTTATTTTTTTTTATTTTTGGTTACAGCTTGATGCCACACTGTATTTCCAGTACAAGTATGGCATTTTCAGCATGGATATCGGTAGCCCAAATTTCGCAGGCCAACCATAGATATCGGGTGTGCGCCGGCAGGGGCTCGAACCTCGGACCATGTGCATAGTCGGCGAGAGTCCTAACCACTGTGCCACCGACGCACAGCTGAAGTAATTTAGTCATTTTTCCCCCAGGTTCAAGTTTGCTTCAAATTAGGATAAAACTTGGACACTGTGGTTGAGCGTGCTTTGTTATTACATTTCGCCGGTGGGTCGGCAAGTTCTCCACAACAAATGTCCTTTTATGTATGAAACAGATAATGCAACAGGTTAATGATTTCATTGAAAAGATTTCTCAACGGTAATTTCTAGTTTCCTTAGGTGATTTACGATATTATGAAATCACGAATTGTTATGAAGGCTACTAGTGAATTGGTGGAACGATTCGATAAGCCTACTGTAATCTTCTCAAAGATTTTCCAGGTAAAGGCCGCCAAAAACCCAATGGTGGATCATCTAGATGTTTCGAAGAATAACATTAACAAGTCCAGCTTTGCCATTCTGTACGCAGTGTCACCGTGACCATTGAGCACAGGGTGAAATTATCAGAATCTTTTTTTATCATATTCATGTGTATAAGATACGTTTGTTCAGCTTCTTCCTTTACCATGATTTTTACCTACCCGGATACAATCACAATTTTAGCCGTCACACTGGGTGTAGACATTATTATCACTACATTTAGTGTTGGTGGCAGAATTTCGCCTTAGTTTAACAATATATTGAGAATTCACGCTTTTTATTGTCTTACTGTCGTCAGAAATATTTGTTCACAACCAACTCCTACAAATAAACACAATCTCCGTAAACAGCAATAATGATTGACTACCTACACAATGTAACCACTTGTATAGTTTTGTTGTGATTATTATTATTATTATTAACTTATTTATATGACGTGGATATGCGGGTCAGTAGCTTTAGCATGTGACTTTCGGTGACCGGCAGTCACCAGGCTCGGAACCCACTTTAAGCAACTAACTAGGTATGGTTAGCCTACAACACACAATAAATATGGTTCATAGCGTTGTCCATGAAAAAGCCCACCATCAACCAGTGAAGACTGGTGCTCCATAATATGAATTACAACTAGAATAAGTCTATCAATTAATTGCTAAGAAATGGAGGGATGGCTGTAAGTTTGTCACGCGATCATTATTGGGGATTAAAACTTTACACAAGTGAAAAGTAATATGAACAAATAATTATTAATTCGACTAACATAAAACCCTATTAACCTAAAAATGTAAGGTTTTGCACAATACATACTACAGCACTCTAAAACATAATAAAATTAAAGAAAAAAACAAAGTGGAATACATTTTGGATAATGCTATAAACATAATTATGGTGTTAGTTGCCGGTATTACGTAAGTTAAATTACACAATTGGCATGAAAGTTGGCACGGGGCTATGGGATAATCTGTTTAACTGTGCAATACCAAATCACAGCAAGCACAGGGACTTAATGCACCTCTATTTTATTAAATATATCAACTTGAGACTGTGTTGGTCCAACTAACCAATAATTCACCTACAATAAAAGTAGTCTAAAATATCAAATTCCGTTGCATATTTTTTAAATTTTCTAAAATAATAAGATGATCAGTTAACAGCGCTTCTTGAGATATGAACGAGTATGAATTGTTTTGTACAGATTCAATAAATTTCCACTTTCAACAATCAGAATCCTTGAGAACCACTCATCCACCTCAGTCAACATGAGGCTTCAGTATCAACTATTAAATATGAGTAACTTCCCTTAATCAAAAGATTATTTCTTCCAGTGGCTCAACTTTCTTACCTTGTCTAACCTGAACATCACTCATTGCTACAAGGGATGCATTAATTAACATAAGCAGTTTTTACCTACTGATTATTTTTAGGATTTGAAACATCCACCTCAAATACATCGGCACTACAGATACATATGACCATGTCATTAAAGAAATCACAGAGGGAATACGTTAGAGTTCACCTGGATTTACTTAATTACTTCATCCAAACCATAATCACCCACCTCTTAAAAGTCGCAGATAGAACGTGGTTGTATCAAAGGAATACAAAATGCATTTAGGGTTATTTATATTATCGGTGTAGTGAAAGCATATGATAAAACCTTCGAGTGGACGACATGGTATTACTCAAACTTTTAAGACAGTGGACGTAACTAAGCTGAACCGGATTTTCAACGCAGAACTTTGAGAAACAATGGAACAGTTCAAGCTGTTACATCTTATAAAACATACAAAAAGGTACAGAAAAGAGAAAAATGTAAAAAACTATAGTAAGCGGGAAAGTACGAGGACGCATAACTATTAAAGTACTCTCCTAATACACAGGAATTTCAGTGACTAGATTCCATATTAAGTAGGCTGTTAGATGAATATAACCAGGCACGTAACTACAAAGGAAAGAATCACCAACAAGAAACTATGGGAACAAACAAAACAAGAACCAATCGCCCAACAAATATGCAGGAGAAAGTGGAGATGGATTGGACACTCGCTGAGCTGAGGAGGCCGTTGGGTGACATCGCGCGTCAGGCCAGTGCTCGAGTGGAACCCGAAAGGGAAACGGCGAGTGGGACGTCCAAGGGTGACATGGAGGAGATCGTGTGAAGAGGAGTTGAGACAGTATGGATTAACATGGATGCAGGTGAAAAGTACAGCAGAAGACAGAAGCAAGTGGAGACGTGTAGTTGAAGCCCTATGTTCCACTAGGAACCCAAGGGAACAATAATAATAATAACTACAAAGTCTACAGCATCTTCGTCTATAACTTCTACACCCTAACCAATTGCATTTTTTACTAAAGCCCCCTGATAGATATTTCTTTTTAATGTTAGTCGTGTGAGGTCGATAGTATTGCTCGACCATCCAAACATAGTTATACAAACTGACATCGGTCGATAATAGCTGAAGGTATTCTAAACGATGGAAGAAATTATTACTCAGTGCGATTTGAAACCAGTCAGTCAGTCAGTACAATATGCTGCATTAGGCAAAATATAATCAGAAGTCAGCATATGACAAAGTAAGATTTCTCCGAGGCCATTTTGTAGTATAGCAGCTACAGTTATAAGTTTTGCGACAAACGCATTTCGATTGCTTCCAGCAAAGGCATACATAATTCACATTAATCTGTTCCATTAGAGATTAATGGGAGTTTGATAAAAGAATAGTAATACCACATGGCTAGGCCTGAAATCGCTGAACTTACCAATGTGCACTTTATGGTTGTATCCGGGACTGAACATTTGCAGAATTGAAGATACAAACGGCTGCATTGATACATTTTGAGTTCACCTGATGGGACCGATTTGGAAATATTTCTTTTGAACATCTCACTACATGCAACCGTTTTCGCCACAGCACCATGTTTGCTCCACCATATAACCTGCAAAAAATTGAAACACTAGTCTACCTAGAAACTAAATGAAGTAAAGAAATTACCACTGTTTGTGCAGTGAAATGCACATTAATGTCTTTGCAGAGTATACTGAATGATCACAGTTACACAGTATATAGAAATGCTGACTAAATATTGGCACGTTAGTGCATACAGCAATAACTAAGTATCATTTCTGAACCTTATTAATTAACAGCTAGCAGTTCCATATGGTTCTGTTTATTAGATATATCACATAGTGGAAGTATTATTTGCTGGACGACGTTTCAACACCTGTCCCAGACATCTGGAAAGTTCTACTACCCCTACGACATAGGAAAGAATAACAAATCTATAAAACGGAAGTCTCCAGGTTCTGTGGTTATAATCAATATGATAATGAACAACAAATTGTGTTCGAAACGTCATCCAGTAAATAATAATACTGTTTCATTGTGTGATATATCTAATAAACAAACTAATAAGCAATTACATACTGCCACAGTGCTCAATTTTGGCATATATATTGACATAACAGCTAGCAGGCCTCAAGGCCGATCATAAAACCAGCATAGCCACTTCCTTAAAAACACATTGCTGAGCGATAAATGTAGAGGTTAGACGCTGGCTAAAGATACTTTGTAACATCATTCTGACGACATATTTGGTCGGAGAGGATGACATACGTAAAACGATTATCAAAAGGAAAGAATTAATGTTAAAGGGAACTAAGTAGATAAGGTGGTCAGTGAATATGCAAGACGACTAAGTCACCTACTTAGGGACATCTTTTGAAGTCAGTCCATTCAGCTATCTGTGAACTATCTTGTAAAGTTATATATAAAGCCAGGCAAAATCACTCCAAGTTTGCGTTTGTCATCTTTGTATAACTGAGAAACTATGCATAAGAACAAAGGCACAGACTTTGAAATAAAACACGCTTCTCACAACTGCTTTCTCTACCGTGTGCATTACAACTTTATTTCCAGTTCTTTTTCATTTCATTTTACTTCGTCTTCTCCATTGTTATTTTCTTCTCACTCCACGTTCGACTATATATCTCTTGAAAGAGAGATATCCCGACCGATAGCTGCTACCTTGACGTGGTGGTCGGGCTTGCATATCGCAATCACCCAACAAGCTACATTGGCTGGAACCATTGTCCCTGCAGGTTCTACCATGCCAGGAAGGTTGTTAGAATAGCGATTAGATTAAAAGCAGTTACCGGCATTGTGTAAGATTTTTTTTACACTATGCTGTGGGCAAAGTCGTACTGCTGTGGAACAGGGATGTAACGGCAATGAGGTGTTTCCCTCAGATGACCAGCATGCCAGCCAGCTATGCTGTCTCTCCACTTTGGAGAGAGGGGGTTAGAAAAGGTAGACCCCAATAATTGTACATCCCGACTCAACCTACGGTGGTCCGTAACCGGCGGTAAGTTTACCAATACGACACCAATCTAAGGAATCAGTTCATACAAGCCGTGTGTGACCGGTCTCAAGCAGCTGTACCCTGGGCTCTGCGGTCACGGAACACTCTTTCTGTTTCAGGTACCCGAAGAATCAATCAACTTCCACAGTGTGGGCAACCGGGAAGTAATAACCGCCCACACACTTCCAAAAGCACACGAAGCCTTCCTGAGAATCATTCTCCTTCACCCACATCACCTTCATCATCTTACTCCTCTACTACAGTTAGTACTATTCTTCTGACTGGTGAGGCATCTTCACTTCACTCTGTGACCACAAACAACGGTGAGAGCCATAGAAACACCCCGACAGGCCTTTTAAAGCCACGTTGCCAACTTCATATAGGAGCATTCACCATCAGGACCCTCTGCCTAATCGGACAACAGACATCACTAGCAAGAACTTTGGCATCTCGAGCCATGGATGGATGTTGTGTTTCGGAGACACACATACAAGACCCGAGTGTAGTCATTCACTTAACCTCACACAGCCAACAAGGTGAGTCTGCAAAATCCACTTTAAGGGTGTCAGGAGACCCCTTAGCTAGTTCGTGAGGACTCGATATAGGAATAGGATCGAGTGTTAGGGCAGAAAAATCCCTTCTTGGCTGGATCCCAGTAAATATTCGTATGTGTGCGGTCCGTTAGAAGGACGAAGGACGGCGTTAACCTCGCTGTCTTTTCATAGTCTCCGCTTACGAACCAACAGACTGCATTTCAGATGAACTAAGTGATGATTTCTACCTGAAACTGTATAATTTGCTGCAAAAAGCAAAACGTTCAGACATAGCTGTTTTAGCAAGCGAATTCAATGCCCAAGTAGGGAAATTGTGCCAGACTGAGAAATATGTAGGTGGTATGTATGGAGTTCCCTGCCGGTGGACCGACAACTGTAATCGTCTTTTACAGTTCTGTCCAGATCATCATCTGTCTCCAGTCAGCGCTAACTGTAGGTACAAAAAGAGACACTGCGTAATCTGGCGACCTCCATCACTAAGTCAACGCTGGACTCAGATAGACCACATAGCCATAGGGTATGGTTGGCGAGGGTCAGTAGAAGACTGACGCTCCTTCTGGAATACATGCGTACACTCTGAACACGCCCTGGTTCGCGCACGTTTATGCTTACGATTAAACGGATATAGAAAATTGTTGGCAACGAAGCAGTTACGTCCCCAGCTAAATCGAAACTTTGAGTCCCTATTTAAGGAGGAAATAGCGAAACGAGTACCTGAGGTCGACAGAAGGACTCCTCCTGAGGTAGTCTGGCATGATATACAGTTAGCTGTAGACACAGCTGTAAAAGCTGTTAATAACTTGAAACCTAAAGTTAGTAAGAGCCATTGGATTTCTACCGTCTCATCCGAACTGATTGACGCAAGAAGACTGATTCCGGCGAGCTCCGATTATGATGAGGAGCGAAAGCTACTCAACCGAAAACTAACAAGAAGTCTTCGCAACCACCATGAACAGTGGTGGGCGACAAAAGCGAAGGAAATGGAAAAGGCATCGGCGATTGGTAACACCAAACAACTATTTAGACTTATCAGGGAAACAGGTGGTAAAAGGCAAACAATCTCTGAGTGAAGTGGCACCATAATTAGTTGCCAGGATTGACGACTTGAACGTTAGAAACCACACTTCAACTTGCCTAAAGCCACGCTCAACACCTTCTAGCATGAGATTTAGACACAGGTCCACCGTCCCTAACTGAGGTTACTAAGGCTGTCACTAGTCTGAAACGAGGCAAAGCAACAGGACTTGACGGAATGACTCCAGAGGTATTTAAGTACGGTCGAGACAGTTTACTGACAGCGTTAACTAAGGTACTGGGCAGAGTCTGGGAATCAGAGGAAGTCCAGTCTGGTTGGTGTAAGTCATTGATTATCCCGATATATAAGAAGGGAGACAAGTCTTCTTGTGATAATCACAGGGGGATTAGCTTGACTAATATGGTATCTACAGTTCTAGGCTCAATAATAATTCTAAGACTAGTGATTCACGGGAGGAACAAACACGAGAGAACCAGGCAGGCTTCAGACCAGGAAGAGGGTGTATTGATCATATCTTCACCCTTCGACAGATTCTGCAAAACAGGTGGCATACTCACTGGCGTCCAACAATCGTTATATTTCTTGACCTCAAGGTGGCCCTCGAGTTTTGTCGACCGACAGTTACTCAGGCGATATTTGGTTGTGAAAGGAATGCCGAGGAAATACATTGCACTGATCAAAGTACTCACTCTGCTCGAACTCATGCAGCCAGCCAGGTGAGAGCTTATGGCGAGTTGTCATCTGAGGTGGTGACAACTAGTGGTGTCCGACAGGGATGCCCAGTATCCCCATTTCTATTCAATTTCATCATAGATGTACTAATGGAATTAACCCTAACTGCTGACTTCAGCGACTCAGGGAGTAATCTTGTTGACTTAGAATAGGATGATATAGTCCTTCTAGGTGAAGACGCTGATAAAATGCAGCAGAGTCTTCTGAACACCTTGAGCTGCAATCTACGAATGTTCGGCTTACCATTCGCTCCTCCCAAATATAAGATGATGTCACAAGACTGGACTGCACTGCATCGACTCCTAGCTTAGAAATAAGGAGTGAAGTGGCTTGTGGAGCGTGTTGACCACTTCCCTTATTTGGGAAGTTGCATCAGCCAACGCCAACGGGTTGATCGCTGACGAAATCTCAGCATGGCGGCTAGTTTCGCATATTCCAGTTTACACCACCTCTGGCTTGGTAGACGTGATATCCGGCTATTGATCAGAAGACGTGTGTACTGCCCAGCAGTCTGCTCAATCCTGCTTTATGCCTAGCTGTGAGACCTGGCCATTGAGAGTAGAGGACATGAAAAGTCTGACTAGATCATATGTGCCTACATTTTATCTCCCGTGTGAAGTGGTATAATAGGGTGAGCAATATTGAGGTGAGGAATCGGTCAAGTGCTAGGTAAGTTGGGAGGGGAAATGAACAGACGAGGCTGTGAAGTTACATCGGGTTGTGAGGGCGATTGTTACTTCCCGGCTGCCCACACCGTGGAAGTCGATTGCGTGACCGCAGAGCCCAGGGGACAACTGCTTGAGGCCGGCCACACACGGCCTGTTTTTGTTTGTTCTTTTTTATTTGGTGTGTCTCAGTAGCGTATTTATCACTTCTGTCCTGTGACACGGCAGCAGAAAGCGCGGTCGTTGTTAATCCGGGCCCCGACCGATCCGGCATGATATTTTGTGATTTGTTTGAAGTCATAGGATTGGATTGGGTAACTGCTTTTAGTCTAACCCTATCTTGGGATATGTCTGGATCGCCCTATCATCCAGTAGCTGGATGGCTAGCTGAAATCCTTAAACCTGTCAGGGAACAGCTATCTAATCATTCTCTTCGGGACACCTTCCAATTTGTTGAATGTATACAGGATATAAATGCGTCGAATAAACATATGTTGTCTTTGGATGTAGAATCCCTATTTACGAACGTTCCACTGA